TGCTAGCAAGATTTCAGATTTTTCAAAAAGATATTACACACTTAGGCATGACATACTTTTATTTGAAAATTTGCTTTTTTTATAATGGCAGTAATTGTTCCCAAGAGTTTACGTAATGGCATATTGACATCACTGCACGCATCATTTGGGCATAACAAAAACTCAACTTCGAGCTAAACAAATTTTATATTGCCCGCAAATAAATTCCGATATCGAAGATTTTGTTAGAAGATGTACAATTTGTGAAAAGTTTTCTAAAGTCCGTATGACATCTGTGTATTTTTCTGTGAATTTATTCATGTAGTTCAGGGTGACAACCGAAAAACTTCAAACGCAACATAAATCAGCATTAGTGCGCGTTCACATTGACACCGCTCGAGCGGTGAGCGTTGCGCGATGCCGCTGTATCGATGCTCAAAAATAATTTTAACATAATATTTCAAATGAACATGTTAACACCGCGGAACGCGCCTCTCCAGTGTGAACATGTTCATTTGAAATATAACGTTAAAATTATTTTTGGGCATCACTACAGCGGCATCGCGCAACGCTCACCGCTCAAGCGGTGTCAATGTGAACGCGCACTTATGAAAAACAAAATAACGTTGGCACCATGAACTACATGAAGAAATATACGGATAAATACACAGATGTAATACGGGCTTAACAGTAACAAAAAAAAAACAATGATTTTGCGTGATTTCCCAAATTTCCCTTTTGAAATTGTAGCCAGTGATTTTATGGACTTTGGTGGGAAATCTGACCTTGTATTAATAGATTATTATTCTAAATGGTTGGAAATAATCCCAGTGAAGCACAAAACTGCGGATACTGTAATATATTGTTTAAAGACCATATTTTCTACAGTCTATTTTTTCCCAAGATAGATTTTGACAATGACAACTTTGAAACATAAACAATGACGCTTATTGGTTGCAAGATGCAGTATACCTGCATTCGACGAAGGTATCTTTTCCAACCATGTAAAAGGATACCTCACCTGCAAGAACACGGCATTTTGCAACCAATCAGAGCCACGCGGTATTGTTTATGTTTCAAAGTTGACAAATGTCAAAATCTATCTTGGGAAAAAATAGACTGTAGATTCGGAATTCCAGCGGAAGTAGTCTCGGACAACATGCCATATAGTGCACAAAAGTGTAGTTTGCCAAAGCATGGAACTTCAAATTCAGTTCGAGATATCTACGCTCGACTGGATGTGCTGAGAGAGTAGTGCAAACATCAAAGAATATTTGAGGGAAATGTGAGGATTTGCAAGTAGCACTACTTGAATACAGAAATACACCTGTATCAGGCATTGACAAATCTCCAGCTCAGCTAGTGCAGTGCAGAATATTAAAGACAATGTTACCAATTTCGACAAAACTTTTGATTCTAGAAAAAGTTGATTTTGAGAGTGAAAAAGTGAAGGTGGAAAATAAAAGAAAATTATACAAAGATTACTACGATACGTCAACAACGCCAAGAAACGACTTCCAAAATGATGAGAATGTTATACTTCAAGAGGGAAAAACATGGAGTCCTGCCAGAATCATAAGAAAGGTTGAGAATGCACCTAGGTCATATCTGGTAGAAAAGGAAAATGGCCAAATAGTACGAAGAAATACTGTCCATTTAAAATATTCTCAAAACGATTTTCATATTGAGAGACATTTTCCTGATTTAGACACTTCAGAAATCAGTGTCGATCAGGAACAGAGTTCTGAAACAAAGCAAAATATTCCAGCGGATAAGCTAAATAACATGACATCTCCATGTAAAAGCAGTAGAGGTAGAACCATTAAAAAACCAGCAAAATTTAATGATTATGTCACTTATTAGAGACACATCTTTAACTTTATTTTTAAAAGGGAAAGATATCGGGTCTTCAAAAAAAAAACCAATAGAAGATTGCTATGGTTTTTTAAACGTATGTCTTAGCAAAATTTTTCTGTCATTTTGTCAATGACTTTAATGTCAAAATGTCAAAATGTCATGTCAAAGATCCTGACCAATAAACAAACAGTAATGCGACGTACGTTTTCGTAATCAAAACAATCTTCGATTGTTTTTTTTTTTTGAAGACCCGATATCATATAATTAAGAAAGTTACATTTTGTTGTTCTATTTTCATAATTTAGGATCTGTTGGTAGTCACTGATTTACACCATAGTAGCTTTCCAGTGACGCACTTTGAGCACTCCTGAGCTGCTCTGGAGCGCTCCTACCTGCTTATAGACGTTCCAGTGCATGATTTAAACTTATTAAAAGTATAAATTATACCTACGTGTTTCAATTCAATAACATAACAGGTACAGCTTGTGGTATTTATTTTCAATTTGTATTTTTTTGTCGTCACCAGATTTCTTGGTTTTTTTAAAATGCATGTATCATCCAGAAGATTAAAAACTTGGTAAACTGAACTCTAATCATCTGTAGGTAATGTAAAAAAGTTGACTTGACGATGACGTGATTCACAACGACAGAACAGATGCGAAATGCTACAGTAAACTGTAAACTTTATGAAAGACAGTGCGGCATTTCGTGGTATTGTGTGGTACTGCGCCTCTTGTGGTCGATGACGTCACGCGCTCCTTTACAGTGAAATTCGAGAACTTTGAAATTTGAGAACTTGCTCTGCGAAGGCATGCAAGATACCCTTTAAATTATAGAAAGATGGTGCACGGAATACACTCTGTTCATCAACCCCAAAAAGACTGAAATGGACCTATTCACAAGAAAGAGGAAACTGGTACTTCCGCCAGCACCAAAGGCTCTTGAATACCGAACTAAGCTTTGCTGCAGAGGACGAATATCTGGGAGTGACACTCGATTGCACACTAACTTGGAACTCTCATATCACTAAAGAGAATACAGAAAGCATATCGCCTATGAACAATGCAGACTTACCATCGGTAAGACCACTATTAGCCGGAGACTAGACCACGTTCAAAGGATGACATGTATCAACATAATTGGTGCAATGAGAACCAAACCTAACCCAACTAGGGTTTTGGAAGTAATTCTATGTTGTAACAACACAGTGGCAGGGGTAAGTAACATCTACACTGACGGATTCAAAAATGAAACATGCCGGTATGCGGAGTTTACTCCTTGCCCTTGGCTCCATGCCAAATGTACTCCAAACGGAAATTACTGGCATAACCATCGCTGCCGAAAAGATAGTCAGTAATAATATCACTGACAAGATCGTGCACATTTATACGGACTGTAGACAAGCAGTACTAGCTCTATCTAGACCACGACTCACGTCAGAACTAGTACAACATTGTCACCGTAGCCTCACAGAGGCGTCGATAAAAAAACCCGGTGATAGTCAGCTGGATCAAATGACATGATCACAGCAAAGGCAATCGGGCTGCCGATGCTCTGGCTAGGAGGGAAGAGAAGATGGAGGGCGACGTCATCGCCTACGTTACCTCTCCTCTTGTGAAGGCGCATGATGGGCCTACCGTGGCCTAAGTGCTGTGGCATACCACTAATGAAGTAGAAAGAGGTATGGAATGAACTTTGCGTCATCCAATTGATTCCAGAATGAGATAGCGCTAGTAAGGGTAAGAAATATATTGGATCTCTCATATCTATCACTCTAACCCTGAGTGAGATAGCGCTAGTAAGGGCAAGAAAATCTCATGGATTTCTCCTATTCTCTCACTCTAATGTTGGCCGCAAATATATGTATTGAGTAGATAGGCAAAGGGCTATTCCAACCTTCTTACTACTTCATTGCATACCACCCTCCCAAACTTAAAGATACATTAGATAGTTGGGTAGGGAAGAAACCACAGTGCCATCTGGTTCGCTATACATTGAATCTTAGTTTAGTTAAGTACTACTCCTGTTAACACAGAATTATGTTACTGTAACGTTTAACCGGGATATGCCATTGGTGGATACTAGCAGTGCATTCTATGTAAAATCCACCCCACCCAACTTAAGAATGGTACACGCACGTGCTTCGCCGCAAGTTGCGCATTGGTATTTTTATCACGGTTCCATAACAACGGTAAGTAGTTACGTTATCCGGTGGCGTACTTAAATCCGATTTAATTCAAAACCAAATGAAAATTATCGAAACAAAAAGTTTGCGCGCTGGCTTCGACGTCAGAACTCTGCGCAGACACGTGTGTGTAACATTCCCAAATTGGGTGGACTCTATCTTACACCTCTAATAAGTTCTCTGTGATTTATCGCCTTGCTCGCAATGCAATATTGGGCAAGTTGTATGTTAATTTTGGTCCTACTTCTAAACAAATATATTCATATTTTCTTGTTTCGATGCAGTTTTTTAGACTTGCAACACACTAATAAGGATTTAAGCTAACTAAATGGGATTTACCATCAGTTAAGACAACGACAAAGTTCCAGTTAAGTTGTATGAAGGAGAAACCTTATTATTCCTAGGAAAGTTTCATAATAATTGAATAGGAAATTCTAAACAAACTTTTCCAAAACTTCCAAGGTAGATTTGAATACTCTCTCAATGGGACTGTATTGTTTTACTTTGGGTTAGGAAAATGGAATAAGAATATTTATATTCCAAAAAAAATCTAAGTGAAATAGACGTGAACATTTTTGTGCATTTCAATTTTCTTCTGAACGTTTTCATGGGAGATTTTTTCTTTTTAATAAAAAATTTTTGGTATATAAATTTGTTTTAAGTGGACTTAACTGATCATTTTACGCGCCATGTTTTTGTGGGGTTGGTTCATCTTTTATAAACTCATATTTCTATTATTATCTTTTCTTTCTACTCTTTTTGATCCAATATATTATCATAAATCACAAATTTGGACCCCTGGATGCGTAAAATAAAATATACTGTCAAAAAATATTACCCATACATATGGCTGGAGACATTCTGAAATTGTGCCTTCTTGGCCTAAGGAGCAACAAAAACAAACTAATAAAATTTCGGTCTGCTTATTTATGACATATTTATATAAAAAGGTACAATATTTTTTTGTTTCTTGTTTAAGCTACTTTACCCGCAAATTCCACCGGATCTGGATCGGCCAATGCATTTTCGATGAACATGAATAGCAGTACGGAGGGCCAATTGAAATCTAGAAAAAAAGCTGCTAAAATGTTGGTTGCTGTTGTTGCTATGTTTGCTCTTTGTTTCTTGCCAGTACATGTGATTTCAATTTTGAGGTAAGTAATGAAAAATACAAAACTATTGGCGATAGGCGCTTACTTATAAAATGTATTATAGGGTACGATGTATTTCGCAAATTCGAATAAGTAGGTAGATACCTCTATACCTACTATGTAGATAAGTTTTATAAATATTACAATGTCAACAAATAATAATATAAGGCGATAATGGAAATTAAATACCTACTAATCGGATAATTTTATTACACGATCACAATTTCTGTTTGAAACATGGACGGTATTTTGCATTGTTGTCCAAAATCTGAATAACATGCGAGATTTGTGAAAGTACAAATAGAGTACCTTCCTATAAGTGAAATACATTGAATAAAACATAAATATTTGAGGAAAACTAATTATTTAATTCATCTCTCAGAGTGTACCAGAACCAGATCCATTTTTGCAGTTGAGTATACACAAATTGGAATAGCGTGTCAAGTCAATTTTGTTAGTGTATGACCCTGCTCAAAATATTGGATTTTTAAAATCCATTCTGCTCGCCAAACAACGTATTACTTTTTCCATTATGACAGGAACTGAAAAGTCGCGTGAAAAAAAAGGAATATGCACCTAGTTCAATTTGCTTTTTTTGCACAGCTCTTATTCGCTTTGATTAAATTTTAGAAACTGTATCATCACAAATTTTTGCCTTGAAAAGCAAATTGCAACTTATCTACCTTTCTTTACTTTTTGTATTTCCCCTCTAGGTCTCAGCTGGAAGACTTTTCAAGGCAAACTATAAAAAGCCACTCTACATTTATGCTGTTTTGCCCTTTCTAAAGGCAGAGGTTTTTAGCGAATGTGTTTTGTTTTATTCCAAAAAATACTAGTTTTAGATTGGGTAAGGCAAGAAAATCGTTGGTCATGCGACAACAATGATTTGCCAGGATATAACAAAATTTAATTTATACTGTGGTAACTTTGCTGAATGTTCATCTGAAGTTTTATTAAGTTAAATTGTCAAGTAGTTGTCTGAAATGTGTAATAATTCGTTTCCATAACTGTCTGATCTGTAAACTGGTAGGTATAGAAATTTATCTACGCCGTGAGATAAGAGCTCCTTATCCCACTCCATTTCTAGTTTCCATACGCTGGTTTAATTCAGTCTTAACAAGCCTATAGCAAGAAAAATGTGGATAAATTATTCTAGAAATAGAAACGGAGATTTTCTTTTACTATGGAAATACTGTCTTTCTCATCATTAACAGCTTACGTGGGTAGGAAACACGATGCCAAAAATGTATGAGGGTGCTTCCTCTCGAAAAAAATTTTAAAAAAATAAATAAAGAATATGAAAATGCAAGTGCTGTATTTGAGAAAATGAACCAAATAACTTTCAATATCCTACACTCTGTAACAACAAAGCGGGTCTTAAGTGATAAAAGTGATGTTTTATCTATTTAATTATATAGTACAGGGTGTCCCATTTTGTTTGTACAGGCTTATCCAACGATAGTGCTTTCTACCTTACATACCTGTTAATTGAAGAGGTACAAAAAAATGGTAAATATGAAAGTTGTTGGGATTTTTATGAGGAATTAGGAGCATTTATTTTAAAAAATTTGAAGGCGGGTTTAGAAAATATAGCAAAAAATTTAACATTTCTTGCTTAATTTAAATGGAATGACCTAATTTAGAATATGTTTTTGAATTCTACATTAAAATTGAGCCCTGATATATGTTACATGTCCTATAATTAAATTCAGCAATTTTGGAGATACCGCTAATCAATGATTTTTCAATATAGGCCAGGAAAGAGAGGTTGAACCTCGTATATAATCTAAAAACTATAACTTCTAGAGAAAAACTGACTACGCAACTGAAATCTACGTCGAAAGATCTAGTGAATTTCCCTTTTCGAACGCGCCCTGTACATCTAACCTAATATTTGTGGGGAGGTTAGCGTTGGCAATATGCGGCGACTGCGTGCGGATTATCAGGGGTCGTATTTTCGAAACCATGCGAATTTTTTCGCATGCGATCTATTTCGAAAAAAGTCGTGTACGAACTAAAATGCGTATTTTTGAAGGCCCTTCGAAAATGATATCGTATACGAGTATCATTTGCGTTGGCAACGTCGCAAATTCGAGTATTTGGTAATGGCCATTTCGACTGATACAAAAACGAAGAGGTATTTTTTGACATTTGGCTTTTTAAAAATACCATAACACTCCCTATTTTTGCTGTTAACCTATAAACTATCCAAGATGCTGTCAAACTTAAATGAAAATGTCTACCAAGAGGCACACAAACCCTTTGTTTAGGTGTTATCAAATGGTGTTATGAGTTTTAAATAGTGCTAATTGTGAATTATCTACGTTGTTATATTTAAAACTGTTGTATTTATGTTAGAAATAGTGTATTTGAATAGTGTATGTGAATAGTAATTCGTGTTGTTCCTGCCGGCCATATTTTGCTTGTCAAAGTCTTTTTTGTATTTTGTGGCTGTTCATTGAGTTTATCAAGTATTATTTAGTCTATTCTGTTAGTATAGATCTTGCTGAATAAATTTTGTGCACCTAATCGTTGGGATTTCCTTGAACGTCCTTGTTTTTTATAACGTTAACTAACAATCTTGGTTTTTGGAGGGTTTGTGTCTGCTGAGCAAAAGAAATATTTGATTAGCTTCATGGAGGAGCATCCAGAACTAAAAATCTGGAAAATTACAAAATGAAATATCCTTGAAATTTTAACGCATATTAGAAATTATAACTTGTACGCAAATTAACATTGTAAATATGCATTTAAATTGAACTGGTATAATGTTTGCAATGTTATAATAACTACCAAATGTAAACTTGCTGCAAAATTGGAAATATAACTTGTAGGTAAGGTTACATCGCAAAGATGCCTTTAAGTTGTGTTGATATTATTTTGTAATGTTATAATTTAATATTGAATGTAAACTTGCTGCAATATAGCAGAAATAATATATTGGAAAATCGAAAGCTTTGCCGCCATTAATAACGATCGGAACGACATCGGGGATACGAACTAAACCGAAAGCAAATCGACGCCATCAAGTCGCTGTTTGTCGTTTGAGTTGAGTGCTGTGTCTGCTTGTTGAATGTTGTGTCTGTGATAAAGCGAATCTCGGCTAAATTTTTGGTGTTTGTGTTGGGATTATGTATTGGATCGGTTCAGTAGGTAGTGCTTTGCTTTTTGGTTATTTTTCTTATTCAGTTTTTATTTTAGAACCTGTGGAAATGAAATAAATATACAGCGATTACAATGGATGAGGATTCAAATAAGGTGAGTAAGGTTTGCATAGTCAATAAATACTTTTCACAAAAATACTGCGGAATGGGGCCCCTTTTTTGTGAACCGTAACCTCTTTTTTTCATACCTACAAATCCCGTATTATTATTATATTACTTATTATGATTTTACGATAATATTTTATCCGTAACCGTTTGGTAGGTAATGTCCAGAAAGAAAGTGGCTACGACGGGGAATATTTATTATAATAAAAATACAGAACTACTCCCTGATTTTGTTTTTGTTTCAGGTGACAATATAAGTAGCAGCTGTGGTAGCAGCCAGTACCTACTTCGTCCTGTGTGTCAACCAATCTAAAATTTCGCTTTTTTTTCTGTTTAGAATTTTTATTTATTTTGCTTTGAGATATTACTTTTTACGTTTTGTTTTTCACCTAACTATATTTTTTTATTGTGAGTATTATAGATATACATAATATACCAACCAACCTTTTTATTTTGTTTGCCAAAAATTTGTACTTTTATTCATAATAAAATATCTACCTAATATATGATTATGGGTTTCAGGATCAAATTTTAACTGTTAGAGTTTATGCACCGCAACTCAAATCTCTCTGTATAGGTGCATAGCATTTACAGGTGCAACATTACTTTTTTATTGCAGTAAAGTTGCGAACCCAATATATTTGTAATAAAAATGCAATATTACAGTAAACTTACTAATAAATTGCAAGTAACCCTAAGGTATATTTGAATTTGTAACCTCACACTCGTAAGTTTGCTGAAGTTTTGATCTAATATTCCAGTAATATTGCTGAAAGGTTATCATTTATAAACCTTGCATTTGTAATATTACCCTAAGGTTGTTTCAGTACTTGCCGCAATACTGCGTCAACATTACAGTAAACTTCAATATAACCTTACAAGTTTGCAGTGTAATGTTACCTCATTATTACTGTAATCTTATTTTGTTCAGTGGGAAAGGCGCGTTCGAAAAGGGAAATTCACTCTGAGTCGCCCTTTATAAGAACCTATTGTCACCATTTCGATCACTCATGAGAGTGCCGAGATACAAGGGGTGTCCCAAAATGCAACATTTTCAAAAACACCTTTATATCTGAAAAACAAAATGTTTGCGAAAATCGCATCCCTCTATCTCAAATAGCAACCGAGTTATCCTTGCGTGCGACCAAAATGGGACATACTTATATAATAATGTTGAAAACTCTTCATGATATAAATTCCCTCGAATGTATAACGCTTAAGTGGCCGATCACTATAGCCTATTCAGTATCTTTTGCTACATAAACATCTGAAATGAGTTATTTTTTAGGCTTACGACAGAGCTGACGAACAGTGACGGAAACAGGGCACTATCCTCGATTTCGCATTGGTTATGCTATGCAAACAGTGCCGTGAATCCTATCATCTACAATTTTATGAGCGGTAAGTGGTTTATTTTTCTATATCTGCACTGCGAATAATAGGGAACAAGAAAATTGGATTTAGCGCCCAATCAATTATTATCCTTCAAATGACGGTCAAATTAACCTGAAAATTGAATTTACGTTTCTCCCAATTAGCCGGTCCAAAACAAGCAAAATATGGCCGGCAAAAGGAACACAAACTACTATTTACATGCACTATTGAAACACACTATTTCTAACATTAATAAAAACAACAGTTTTAGCTAAAACAACGCAAATAATTCACAATTAGCACTAAGTATTTGAAACTCACCGGGGTTTGCGTTGCGTGCCTCTTGGCGGACATTTTAATTGAAGTTTGACAGCATATTGGATAGTCTAATATCATAGAGTGGGAAGGTAATATGTCCGTCCTGTATGCGGGAAAATAAATGAGATTATTGTTTTCTGTATCCCCTTCAAAAACTTGTCTCAATGGACATTATTAAATTTTCTCTGGAACTGCGAAATTAAGCAATTAAACTTTTTCAATAATACAGGTCTAACGATGGAAAGACCCATAGGCTTCCTAATTTGTAACTGCATAAATTTGATTCAATTTAAACAACATGCCATTTCCTCTTTCAGTTAAGTAATATGAAAGTTCACTACTGGTTAGAGATAATAATAAATTAAAAATTGGACAACAGTCCACATTTCGAAGTGGAGTTATATGATTGTATACCTACGGGTCCGAACAGGGATTGTATAAATTTCTATCCTCGTTTCCTCGTATCCCGGTTTCGCGGACCGCACAAATAGTTAAAATAATAATTATATTATTGTCACGACTCTGGCTTGCATGACAGAAATCTTGGGTCCGTTTATTCCAAAATCAAAGTCCAATTAAGACAACAATAAAATTCACTAATTAACTCAAACAACTCAATTCTTTAAAACTTTTACAATAATCACTTATCTGAAACATATCACAGCCAATCTTAAACTTAAAAACTACTAACTAATACCGGCCTTTATGTATCCACAATCTATTCATGCAGAATCCAGAATAAACGCGATAATCTTTTTGCCCGAATAAAGCCAGTATTTTCTATATTCCAAGTTAGATTCTCTACATGCTGGCGAACGTGCCATACTGCCCTCCGCTTGAGGTTGATCGTCCTGATCAACTTCGCGCCCATGATATTTCGTCAATCTGTCCAAATGTACAACTTTCATCTTACTCCTGGTGTTGTGCTGAACTCGATAAACCAAATCATTAATCCTCGTGATTATTCTGTAGGGTCCTTCCCATGCTGAAGATAATTTCGGCGACACTCCTTTCTTTCTTGTTGGATTATACAGCCACACTAGATCACCTTCTCGAAATCCGGCTGAATTTGCTTTCAAGTCGTATCTGGTCTTCATTCGGTCACTGGCCAGCTGGATATTCTACCGAGGAAAATCATGTATCCCAAGAAGTGGTGCCCTTACTTCGTCGGCATAATCTCGAATTTCTTTCCGTTCTTCCAAACATCAGATCGCAAGGTAATCTGAGCTCCCTTCCAAAAACGATTCTAGTCGGACTCTCACCTGTTAACTCGTGAAGAGCTGCTCTATTAAAATGGAGGCAAGTGTTTGTCCCAATCTCGCTGGTTCTTTGCGACCACTTTTGTTAGGTGTTCCTCTATGATCTTATTGAAACGTTCTCTCATGCAATCAGACTGTAGATGTGGAGGTGTTATCCTTGTCTTACGAATTCCCATGATGTCAAAAATTTTCTTAAAGATGGCAGATTCGAAGTTGCGTCACTGATCTGAATGTAACTCTAGTGGCACACCATGACGTCTAAAAACTTCGTCCACTAGCACCTGAGCAATAGTGATGGCTTCTTGATTGGAAATAGCGAAAACTTCTGGCCATTTACTGAAGTAATCCATGATGTATTTTTTACCATGCTCTGACTCAGGGAACGGTCCGACTACATCTTTCTGATCGGGATAGGATAACACTGGACTCGTACATAATGCTCCTTTTAATTTTCTGGAAGCGCATTCTTGTGTCCGATTGAATGTTGATTTTTCTTCCGTTAATCGATGAGGCGGAGCAGCTAAATTGGCGAATCCTTCCACAAACCTTCGATAATAAGAACATAATCCCAGAAAACTCCTAAGTTCATGTTTGTCGCGTGGCTTTGGTCACTCCCTGACAGCATCTAGCTTTCCTTCCATGACTTGTATGCCATCTTCAGATGCCATGTGACCTAAGAATTCCACTTTCTTTTGAAATAGAAAACACTTATTTGGATTGAGTTTTAAGTTGGCATTTTGGAAGCGGTCAAAAACTTCTTTTAGGTTATTGAGATGTTCCTGAAACGAATTTTCCATGATAATGACATTATCTAAATATACCAGGCAAGTTCTCCATGTAAGGCCTCGCAAAACAAGATGCATCAGTCGTTCAAATGTAGCTGGAGCATTACACAATCCGAAAGGCATTACGTTAAACTGGTATAACCCGCTTCCGGTACTGAAGGCAGTTTTCTCTTTGTCATCTTTGTGTATTGCCACTTGCCAGTATCCACTTTTGAGATCCAAGGTGGAAAACCATTTGAAGCCTGATAGAGTTGTTAATGTATCGTCTATCCTCGGTAGAGGGAAGCTGTCGTTCTTGGTGATGTCATTAGGCTTACGGTAGTCCACACAAAATCTAAGACTGCCATCTTTCTCCATAACCAATACTACTGGAAGAAGCTGGACTATTTGACTCTTCAATAATCCCCTCTTGAAGCATTTTATCAATTTGGTTCTCCACTTCCTGTTGTTTAGCTACTGGCATACGTCGTGGTGGGTGTCTAATTGAGTGTGCCAATCCAGTATCAATTTTGTGTTGAATTGAGCTGGTCCGTCCGGTTTGATTATCCATCACAAATACGTCTGCTTCTTTTAAGATGAAATCTGTGGCTTCTTGAAGTCTATCTGGATCGAGGTGTTTGATTGGAACTCTGAGGACGGGTACATATGTAACGTTGGAGGGATAAAATATCTCAATCAATGGGGTACAAGATTCAATTAATCTTAAAATAAAGAACCGTCACGGATTCTGGGATCACTAAAACTCACTTTACGAAAAGTAACAATTTTTTTTTCAACAAAAGAAAGCAAAAAGCAGAAGTCATATTGATTTCTGCTTTTCGCATTCTTCTTGTTCTTAGTTTTTCTTGCTTCGATCGCGGGATGTTTTTCTTCCACATTTTATGGATCACTTTTGAGGCAGTTCTTGCCTTGATCTGGCTATGCTCGGATAGATAAGGCATCTGCGTTGTTATGAAGTTCAGAAAATTATACTGTTGCATGTTCTCAATCGAAAGTGAAGTTGACAATTATTAAAAGCAAAGCTAGATCTCAGTTGTACGTTGTTCTCGTTTCTCCGCAGCCGTAACATTCAATGCCCCCTTTCAAGTTTCGCTGTTTGTTTCTGGTAACATTCTTCCATATTTATTCCTTCATCGAGTCTTTAATAATTTCTCATTTTAGTTTTTTTCGTTCTCGTATTGGCACAGCTTTAATCTTTGCTTCGGATATCTCATAGGCCGTCTCGATTTCTAGGGCTTTGATTGAAGCTTCGGTTGTACTTGATGGCTTGGTTATCAGCCGCATTATCTATTGTACAGCCATATCTCGTATTCCATATATGAAATATTTGGTCACTTGTGGTTCTTGCATTTCTGCTGCTGCTTCCGGGTGGGACAAATTAGCCAGCTATCTGTTTCAAATTCTTGTAAGCTTTCCGTGACTTTCCGTTGTCTTGTTCTCAGCTGCATCTGGTAAACCTGTCATCGCTGTATTGATTCCCAACTCATCAACCAAACGCACCATGATTTTGTTGGGAGGCAGGCGGAAGAGTCTCCAATAGGTCTAAGGCTACATTCAGACATATCGCGATATCATCGAAGCTCCAACCATTAGCCTTTGCAAAAGTCTCGAACTGACATGTATACATCGCCCACGATATCTGACCATCTTATGGTGGTGATATACCTTTTATACCGATTGCAGGCGAAAAACTTCCTGACGAAGATTTCGAACTTCCTGATGTACAGGGTTTTTCCGTATATTTTTGCACCCCACCTGCAGTCTTTACCTTCACAGGTAGATGATAGGTGTAAATACAAGTTATGCAGTTTTAGCAAAATATAAATTTTTACAGCCATATGCAACATCCTCGTTTAACTTAAAAGCGCTTTTTGAAACTGGTCACTTTAAAAAAAATTGTATTGCTTGGAATACGCGTGGTTCATCAAGCTAGATGAACCACTTTCTAAACATTTTTCTAAAGATCATCCAGAAAAGAATATACATTTAGTACGAGTCCTTCACGGGCGAATCCTAATTTGGTTTTCTTTGGCACGAGAAAGGCCCTGTTTAGTATCCAGGTGCTAGTTCAGAGATGTAGAGATGTTTCTGTTCCGATATACGCATGCTTCGTAGACTATGAGAAAGCGTTTGACAGGGTACAACATGAGAAGCTTATGAAAATTCTCAAGAATGTAGGCCTAGATGATAGAGGCCTCAAGATAATCGCAAATCTCTACTCAAATCAGACTGCACAAATCAAGGTAGACCAACAAATGTCTGACGAAATACGGATAAATAGAGGTGTCCGGCAGAGCTGCATCCGTTCACTATTACTTTTTAATATTTATTCGAACAAAATATTTGAAAAAGCTTTAGAAAACTGCACTGAGGGAACTTTTATCAACGGCGTGAACATTAGCAATCTTCGGTATGCGGACGATACGGTTTCAATCGCTGATTCTCTGGAAGGTCTTCAAGTATTACTCGATCATTTGACTACTGAAAGTGGGGAATTTGGATTGAAATTGAATGCCAAAAAAACTAAATGGAGGGTGAATAGTAAGAGCCAGGTTGGAGGAGGTATTCTTCAGGTACAGAACCAACAGATCGATTGGGTCCAATCCTACAGATACCTAGGATGTCAGGTCAATGAAGACTGGGATAACACGCAGGAGGTTCGTGT